AGAAAATGAATACCAAGAACCTACAACCAAGATTACTTTATCCAGGAAAGCTATCATTCAGAACTGAAGGTCAGATAAAGAGCTTCACAGATAAGAAAAAGCTAAAGGAGTTCATCTCCACCAAACCATTATTATATGAAATGCTGAAAGGTATTCTTTAAGAAGAGGAAGAAAAAAAAGGTAAAGATAAAAATTATGAACAGCAAATACGCATCTATCAACAAGTGAATCTAAAAACCAAGTGAATAAAAAATCTGATGAACACAGTAAACTGGTGAATATAATAGAACCAGGGGGAATAGAAAGGGAGTGTACTGACAATTCTTGGGGGGTAAGGGGTGTGGGGGTGCAGGAAGAGACTGACAAAAATCATACACCTATGGATGAGGACAGTGGGAGAGGTAAGGGCAGGGGGTGGGGTGGGAACTGGGTGGAGGAGAACTATGGGGGAAAAAAAGAGGAACAACTGTAATAATCTGAGCAATAAAGATTTAATTTAAAAAAAGTTGTTGCCCAATTAGTATCTCTAGCAACCAAATTGTATAGGCAGCTAACATAAAACATGCCTCTCTCACACTTTATAGTTTTATCCCTTGTCAAAAAGAAAATTAATCACCAATGCTTTTCAAGATTAATATTTCCTTTAGTATTGTCAAAAACTAAAAATTTATACTCAGGCTGAAAGTTTATTAGTGATAGAAAAAGTGTATTGAGACAATAAGGATTCTAAAATTTCTATATTGGACAGTTTTAAGAACAGTGACTTATTAGGAAGGGGTCTCAATAGTAAAATTCCATAACATAATAATTGCATAGTAATTCTGAGTATGCTTTTTTGTTTTTACTGAACGTTTTTGCTTATTCAAGGTGTCTGGGGTTATCTACCACCTCCCATTCCACTCCTATATTCACTTCAGCACTATGGATCTAAGGATTATTAAAGCTGTTTAACTTACTATTTTATTTTCTGTTCCCAGTTTTCTCCTAGTTAGAAACCTTTATGTGGATAAAAGAGTAAGACATCTCAGCTCAAAGATCTTAAGGTAGCCCAGCCAGTGTAGCTCAATGGTTGAGCACCAACCCATGAACCAAGTGGTCACTAGTTGATTTCCAGTCAGGGCTCATGCCTGGGTTGTGGGCGTGGGGGCCTGAGGTGGGGCAGAGGGCATGCAGGAGGCAGCCAGTTGATGTTGATGTTGATTTCTCATCTTTTTCTCTCTCCCTCTCCCTTCCTCTGTTTCAAATAAATAATAAACAAACCCATTCATCTGCCCTTCATCTTCACTCTGTGAAGCCTTCCCAAAAGGTCTCTAACCCTTCCACTTGAAGATTCACTGACCCTTTGTTCTGGACTTCCCAAAGACGTGCCTCCCTCCTCTCCTCAGCACTCCTTTTAGAAAAAAAATCTGAAGGTATTTTTCCTCCCCTTTTTGACCTGGGAGACTTTGTCTCCTCCTTTATGATTATAACTAAAGACCCATCCATTCCCTTTGTGACTTATGCTCCTCTGTGGGGCTGGTGATGTAGAACATCAGCAGCCAAAGGCCCATGAAAGGGAAAATTTTCCATGGGGTAGAACTACTCCAAACTCCCTCCCGTGTCAGTACTAGGGGCAAAAGAGGAGGATATTAAGGAAGATAGTTTAATGTGGGGAAAAATTCAGCCTTTACAATGAAGTATAGAAGAGACTAAACCGACAGTTTACTCAGAAGTGAGCATTTTATTGCTAATGGTTTCTTGCTGCTCTGATGGACTTAGATCTAAGATGTTAAAGGTGGAAATGTAACTGGTAATTCTGCTGCTATGGAATTGAGCCCCCCTCATAGGATCTGGTGACGTGGTTGTACTTCCAAACCCGTTACAGAATTCAGAACGTTTTCAGATGTTTGTTTTAAAACTACAGTCTAGTTTTATGATTCGGCCAGGAAGATAAATCTTTTCTGCATGTCTGGGGAAGGCCTCTGGCATGACCCAAGCTCTGGCCCTTTGCTTTCTATGTGTGTGTGAACAATAGAGTATATGTTTGGTGATGTTTGTCCCAATAAGAAAGCAATAGACATGTTAAAGTTGAAGAAGCTTGTCTCAATCTGGGCAGATGTTTAGTTTTTAGAAATACATTATATTAAAAATGAAATGTCAGAATAAACTGCCAATTGTAACAGATTTGAAAACAAGACTCATAAGATGGTTTATGAGGGCAAACATTGCATTTGATATGTTTTCCTTTATATGTTAAAAGTGTTCATTATTTCGGAGGATGAAGGAGTAATCAGTTAGTACACTATTAGTTATGGCAGCACATTAGACTTATATGTAATATTAGTGACTACGTATGGAATCTCTAGGTCCTAGTGACTTCTGAAATTCTGTGCCCTTTAAAAAAAAAAAGCAACAACCCAAAAGCACTTTCTCTGCTCTAATACAGAGTCATAGGACTTTAAGTTTTGCCTATTTCTCAGAAACTGGAAAAAAAGAAAACTACCATACAGTTCAGCAGAATGCTGTCCCATCTCTAACAAAGAATTAAAAATTTTAATGTATATTCAATTAGCATGCAAATAACAAATTGATCCATTTCTTTAAATTTAATTAGTTAATATTATCATTAGGTTATATATAACATAGTTTATATTCCTAAGTTAACTAAGTTACTTAAAAGCTACAGAAAAAGCTAAAATAATAAATATTATTTACATTTCAAATTTTCCATGAACATTTTCAATTTACTTCATATTTCTCCCTAAAATATTTTCCTCGTAATTTTAAATCTTTCAGAAGTTATCATTGCACTTGACACGATAGAATATTTTTAATAAAATAATTAAGGATTAAGATTAACAGGCTTGGTTTCCAGTGCTTGTCCTTGCTTAGATTGATGTTCACATATATTTAAAAAAGGAGTTTAATAACTATAACCATTTTATAATAATCTGTTGACTCATGATTAGATTTTGAACAATAACCTAAAAATATTTGGGAAAATGGGTTCTTATCACTTTTAAGACCAGACTCCTGAGTTAACAGAAAGGAGAGTAAGAAAATAAATTCAATTTTCTTTCTATATACATGAGTGGAGTTGGGCTACTGAAAAACATAAGCAACTAACAAGTGACAGGCCCAAATTCCCTACTTATCTACAACATGGATAAACCATGAATACTTTAAGCATAAAATTGCTAGGCAAATTTTACCTCGCTGAGCTATATATTTACAGCAATCTGCAAAACCACCCATGGCAGCATAATGAAGTGGTGTGTTCCCATTCATTCCAATCAGTCCCATATCTCCATTGTAGGCATAAAGAAGCTTCAATATCTGTAAAACAGTGGATAATGTAGGGGAATAGGAATGTACATTTAGTGAATGAAGATTGCTCCTAGACCTGTGCTAGCCAATACATTGTTAGCCATATGTTATTACTTAAAATTAAATTGAAATGAATTAAATAGAAAATAATCTTAAAAATACAGTTTCACTAGTCATATTTAAAGTACTCAAAAGCTACATGTGGCTACTGTATTGTACTCTATTATACAATACAGACATAAAACATTTTTATCATTGCCAAAATTGCTCTCAAACAACCTTGACGCAGGGGTGGGGAACCTTCTTTCTGCCAAGGGCCATTTGGATATTTATAACATTATTCAAAGGGCCATACAACATTATCAGCTTAAAAATTAGTCTGCTATCTTTTGTCCAACACTTAATTAACTCATCCCTAATGCCTTGTCAGGGCCAGACAAAGTGATTTCACAGGTCAGATGTTCCCCACCCCTGGCTAGAGTTTAAGAAACTCTATATTCAGCTGGGGGGCTAGCATTTTGGTAAATGTAGGCCATTTTAAAAAGCATCAGACTATGGCAGACATCCTCAGAGGAGCAAATTCTTTACCAAATTTAACTTCTATTGGGATGCATATTTTTATTGCAGAGAAGAGACTCAATGAAGAAACTAAGGGTAATTATGTTAAAACTCAGAGAAAATTGAGTAGAAACTTTTGATATAATTCAGCATTTTAAAAAATAAGGCCATCTTTGGTTCCCTTTTTGTTTTTGCTGCAATGTCAGTGTACCTATGAGATAACCTTTGCTGAAATGTCCAGATAATCAGAATAGAGTTTACAATTTAGGTGCGTCATAAGACACACACACATAATCATGGTGATAAGAGTATGTCGGCATTGTTTTCCCCACAATTAGATCATAATATATTTTGAAGATTCTAATATGTAATGGAGTGCATAAAATACAGTAGACCCAGTAGGCAAAACTTTTAAGTTGTCACAGTTAAGAATACAGAAAAAAACACTACTAGTATTAGTCATGTATAAATTAGCATGCAGATAAAATTGAAGAGCTGTATGTTTTTAAAAATAATAGTTGGTGTAAAATATAATTTTAGAATTATTCAAGGAAATCAAGATAGTAATGCAGAAAAAAACCTGCCTAATTGAACCCACATTAATATTTAAAATTTTTGAGAAAAAGGAGAGAAAATTTTTAGCAACAAATTTTAAAGCGAAGAGTAGATTATTACATCAAAAAAGCCTCCTTTGGCAGCAAAATGTGCAGCCTGATGTCTCTCGTTATCAAATGCATTCACTTCACCTCCTCTTTCCAATATCCCTCGAACCAGTTCTACCACTCCTTCTCTTGCCGATTCCATTAAAGCCGTGCGACCTGTGCCCTGGATATAAAGCAGATGAAATGCTGTTTATGTTAAACGACATACTCGATATAAATATGATCTCAATCCATTTGGCCTTAGAGTCACAGACATGCTTAGTTCTCTACATTTTTATTAGTTTCATGAAACAAATAGAAAAAATGAAGCCAGTGCAATGGGTGAATATCCAAAACGTAGAATTCTAAAGTCAGAGTGGATCACACCAGATGTTCTTGTGAGAAAAATGCAGCTCTTGCAAAGATTGTAGAGCAAAAAGGGGAAAAAATATGCTAAAATTCGATTTTAGGTGTTTTCTATTAAGAAAAAAAATCTGATTTTGTCTCAAAATCACAATGAAAACATAAGAAAATTCAATAAAATTAGCCAAATGAGAAGAGGGAGCAAAATTAATAAAAAATACAGCATAACTACATATTTTCTTTTCAAAAAGATAAACTTTTATTAGGATTTAGTGATACCTTGTGTATTTTCTATAATGATCTTTTAACATTTATGCATAATAAATACCAATTTTCCAAACATAATAAGGAAAGAAGCTGTAGGATTATGGTAATATAAAGGTATTGAAAGTATATAATCTTAAAGCATTTTGAATAGAAATGAACAGTCTATAAGCTAACAGAATAATTTTTGCCATATCAAAATGCCAAAGTTACACTGGTAAGACTCTATAATTGAAAAAAAATGAGTATTTATAATCACAGGAATAGTCATACTGTGTTGATAGCATTTGGATTGGCTCCTTTTTCCAAAAGTGTCAGGCACATTTCTTTAATATCATGTGCTGCTTCGCAAGCTCTAAGGAACACCGGTTTTCCATCATAGCTACAATTGTTGACGTCTGCGCCATGATCCAGGGCAATCAATGCACAGCGATAATGCCTCTTAGTAGGTAAAATGCAGTAAAACAAAATACCTGTAGAAAAATAGAATCCCCAAAGAATACCTATGAATAGTTTCTATACATTTCAATCAGATGAAAAGGAAACATGTTCATTTTAAAATTCATAATTAGCTAGTTACAGTGATAGAGCAAAGGCATATCTGTCTTTGTTTTCCCTCTGAAATAAACTGAAACGCCAGGATAGAAAAACCAAAACAGAAACTCAGCTTGTGATAGAAAACAGTCACAAGCAGGTGTGGCTTCGAGCCTTCCCTTCTTCATATTCCGCAAAGTAGTTCAGACAGAAAATACAATGTGGGGGTAGAATATGTCCCACATGCTTCTAAGGATCCAGTAAGTATTTTTAATCATTTAAATGTTTGCTTATCCTTTAGAAACAATGTGCAGTGAGTCAAACATCAGTCTCTGGAAAATAGGATGTTAATGGCAGAGAGACTCCGGTGGAATAAGCAAAACAGTTTGGCAAGTGGCAGTCACACTGAGGGATGTGCAAGGTGAACTAGGTTCATTCATGTGGAGATGAGACACTTGGTGCCGGGAGCACAGAATGGGTTCTTTAGAATCAAAGCAATATAGGGCAGTACTAATAAGGGTATGTGTGAGACAAGATTTTATATATGTTTCAAGTTTCATTTTCTACTTCTAACTTTTCCTATGTGATTTGCCATATCGTTTTCTCAGACGCTCAACTTCCAGAACCTCGATAAGTTTAATATTAATTTGAATGAGCTCAAATTTTAACCTAACGGCTGTTAATATTTGCTTCAAATACTCACTTGACCTTGTTTCTAATTTCACCTTGATTAGTTTTAATTTTACAATTTTATTATTTTATTTTTCTTAATTGACCTTCCCCCATAATTTTACCATTTTAGATATTTATGCGATATGATTTCTCCGCCTGTTTTCCTTGTGATTTCTCTTTTTCACAGTCAAGGAGGTAAACATGTTTTCATTACAGTGTTCCCCAAAGTGTATTCAACAAAACTCTAGGTAAATAAGGTGACATAAGGAAAAACTATTTTATGGTCAAATATATATGGATAATGTCACCATCTTTAGTCTGTCTGACAAATGTGAAATCAACATGCCTAAATATATTTCATGCAATGTTTCTCCAATGAATTTGACAGTGAAACCAATGTTGCATGTACCACTTATCAACATCCCAGTGATTCAATGGTCTGTGAAACACACTTTGGAAAATGATGTTCAATAGAGCTTTGAGAGCTTCTGTTTTTTTGTTTTGTTTTGTTTTGTTTTGTTTTTAGGATATGACATTTTAAATTACATTGGGCCCCGGAATGCAACTGAAGTTTACTTTATTACGGGGTGCCGGAAAGCAATTAAATAACTCTTCCTGTCTTTGTCCTCTCCTTTCTCTTAAGCAAGTGACTGTTTGGAGAGAGTTACAAAAACACATTTTGTTCCTGTTAGAAAACATTAACATTATAAAACTGGATTCATTTCTCTACTGTGGGCTGATGATAATGGCTTTGTACTTGATGCAGCTCTTTGAGATAAGTGATGAAATCTACCAATTTATATTAAGCCTAGTAGTAATTTTCTTAGTGATTTTCGTGAAGTTATGTCAACTCTTGCTGGAACCTGGGGTGATCTGGGCAAGAAACTCCGGGACCATGGTATTGAGATGGGTTAGGGAGGGGAACAATGTGGAGGAGTGGGACTGTCTCACCTGAATAATCATAGAAATGCCATGTGTCAATCTGAAGTCAAATTATTTAAAATGACCCTAGAAAGTTGAAGTTTATGCCAGAATCCACCTTAGTCCTTCAGATTCCCAAGTATAACAAACTCCTTTCTACATCAGACTATTAAGAAGACACAAAATCCTTCTGAAATCCTAAGTCTAGCACTACTCCCAGTTCTAAACTGTAAAAAAGAATAAGAAATGCTCTCCCTCGTTTGGTCTAAACAATATTTCATAATGAATGATTAGGATTACAATAATATTAATGTGTGTCATTTGAAAATTCTCCATTTAGAAAAACCATCTAACAGATTAATCTAATTTTTTTAATGAAAAAACTATCAGATCTGGTTTCCCTAAGATTTACCTACACCATTTTCAAATTATAGGGAGTTGATATTCTTAGGTGCAGGAGTAATTCACTTCTAAAGTTGGAAAGCAAAAAACTTCACTTTATTGATTTCTGGCTATAAAAAGGATTGCATCTGCTAGATAGAAGGTTGGGGTTTTTACCTTTTCCTTCGTTATCAACTAGAGTCATATCCGCCTTTGCCTTGGCTAATATTTCCAAGGACATCTCATGGCCCAGTTCTGCAGCCCTCATTGCCGGAGTACAGCCCATTCGGTCTTTCACATCAGGGTGGGCACCAAGGCTAAGGAGGAAGCTGACCATGTCAGTGTCATTGGAGACCGAGGCTAAGTGCAGAGCACTCTGTCCATCAATAGGATCTGTGAAATTGATTAGTTCAGGGTAACCAAGTCTGGTCAGCTTCTCTATCTGCTTCTTGTCTTTGTTCCGAACACACTGAAGACATTTGTAGATTTGCAGGTTCTCAAGTCTCTTATCTGCTAAAGCCATACTTGACCAACTTCTTGAAAATGCTTTTGTGGACCAAAGCAAATACTAAAGCAGAAACAAACAAACAAACAAAAACAAAAAAAAACCACACATACAAAAACAAAACAAAACATGGAGCTCAAAGTTAATTATGTCACCTTGATTTTGATTAAATGATAATATTTTAAAGCTTCTCCAAGAAGCGAGGCTGTTTCTTATTATGGAAATAATATATGGAAATATTATTACCACAATTTATTGCAACTGATTTCATGAAAATAGAAGTTACAAAATACAAAAACCTTCAACTAGTATAAAGTTAAAATATTTCAAAACTAATCTTTCATCATAATGAATACTATGCGGTTTTCCTGTTATCTCTAATTTTCCCTCCTCGATGCAAACATCCCATTTACGTACGAACAAGGTGAGGCTAATTAAATGGCCAAGGTAAGGAATTGAGCTCCCCACTATATAGCTCTGTACTAGCATGTCCCCCCAATGTAGAGACCATATGGGTTTTAGTCGTTAAAAAATGTGATAAAGAACATGCAGCATTTTGAGATGCTCATTATAAACAGGAATCTACTGTGCTCTGTGAAATACCAAAGAGAGATAGGCAATTCTTTTGTCATCTTATGTGACGATGAGGTAACAATCTTTTGAACCGAGGGGTAGGTCAGACTAGGTACTCCCAGCATGCTTTCCTCCATATTTTTTTCTGGGGTTGGAGGAACCTGTTATCATATAGGAAAACCATTCAGATGGTGCAGTGGTACTATCATAGGCCAAGTCATTGTCACAGCCCCTAATTTGTCTCACTGCTTCCACAACAGCCTTCTAGTCCAATCTCTATTCAATCCCCAGGAAAAAAATATTTTACAAATGTAGATCAGATAAGATCAGACAAGTTTCCACCTCAACCTTTGAATGGGGCTTCCCCTTTCATCTCCTGTGATCAGAATTGGTCTGCAACCCAGGCTTAGCCTGTGTGAGGGAACACTCTCCCCAGAAAGAGTGAATGCCTCAAGAATATGCTAAGAGACATCAGCCACTCAGCATCCCGTGAACCATTCTGCCAGAACTGTATGGAAAGGCAGCTCTTTCCACTAGTGGTTAAGCAGCAGGGTGTGGGGCTGGGGCCGTCACAGAGAGCCTGCAGGAGACACTGAGCTGGATGGCAGCATCTACATCCAGGACCCAGTTGTGGTAGGAGTCACCTACCGCTTAAATGTTCAGGGTTGCATGAGCAAAAATACCCTTCCCCAACCTTATTTTGGTAGAAGCCAGTTGGCTGGGTTCCTTTTATTTGTAATGGAAAGATTCAACCTTACTACAAAATCTGGAACTGGACTCTCTTTTCCCTACCACAAACCTGCTCCCTTATCTACATTCCCTATGGCAAAGAGTGGTACCATTGACCACCTGTTTCCTCTTTAACTGTGTCTTTCTAGGCAACCACAACATCTCCATTGCCTGTTTCCCTCCTACCTCCCCATCCACTGCTTAGTCTCCTTTGCTGGTTCCCCCTCTTTCTGTTAGAAGCCTAGTTGTTGGAGTACCCAGGACTAAGCCCTCAGGACCCTTCTCTATTCTCAAACACCCCTCCCCACCCCGTGATCTCATCCAATGTGATGAGATCTTTATTCCAATTTGCAGTTTCTAATTGTTCACTCAAATGTATACAGCCATCTCTGACTCTCCTCAGAGCTCCAAAATTATGTGTCTACCAGTCAACTCTTCATTGTCACTTGGATATTTAATAGGCATCAAAAATGTAACACAACTCTTGCTATCACCCAGACTTCAATAGTTCTCCTCATTTCCAATACTGACATCACTATCCATCTACCTACTCAGGTAAAAAACTAGGAGTTACGCTTTGTTCTTTCTTTCCCTCACAGATCCCTATTATTCTGTCAACTCTCCCTCCTGACATCAACTTTCATTGGTACTTCCCTAGGCCAAATCATTGCTATAGCTGCTAATTTGTCTCATTGCTTCCACAACAGCCCTCTATGGTTCATTCTCTATTCAGACCCAGAAACATCTTTTTAAATGTAGATCAGATAAGACCAGACAAACGCCTCGCCCAACATTGTAGTATAACTATTTTTAAACATAAAGAAAAACTGAACACCCATGTATCTACCATTGAGATCCTACCATTAATGCTTGACTTGCTTTATTGCATCTCTATCCATTGTATTTTTCTGATCCATTTCAAAATAAATTGCAGACATGTTTCAGCATAGATGTCCTTAATTTTTGTTTAATATTTGTTTATAGCTCTTTTTTTAACCTTTTGAATATGCAATGAAATGTATAAGTATTAAGTGTACCATTCCGTGAGTTTTGAAAAATGCATATGTCTATGTAAACCAATCTCCTCTCAAGATATAGAACATTATCTCATGCCAGAACATTCTTTCCAGACCACCTTTTAAAAAAAACATTTCGCCCTAACTGGTTTGGCTCAGTGGCTAGAGCGTCAGCCTGCAGACTGAAGGGTGCCAGGTTCGATTCTGGTCAAGGGCAATATACCTTAGTTGTGGGCACATCCTCAGTAGGGAGTGTGCAGTAGGCAGCTGAATTGTTGTTTCTCTCTCATCCATGTTTCTAACTCTCTATCCTTCTCCCTTTCTCTCTGTAAAAATCAATAAAATATATTTAAAAAAAACATTTCAATATCTTTTCATTGTTATCAGAAAAAACCACACACACTCTGATGACCTATTCAGGTCCCTTTTCCAGACCCTCAGACTTCACCTTCAATCTCCCTTGACATAGTGATCTCCAGCTACACTGGCCTTCTTTCTGTTTATGGAACAAAAGCTCATTCCTGTCTCTGGAATGTCTTGTTCCCTGAGCCTGGAGTGCCCTTTGGTCAGAATTTCCTTTGATTGGCACTTTTCACCATTAAAACTGATGCCACCATGTTACTTCATTCCTTGGGCTTACTTTCTTCATAATGAAATGAAACATTTCTCTATATAACATTTCTATCAACGTATATAGATATATTCAATTTATATATTGTGTATCTTCCCCACTAGTATGTAGCCTCCATGCAACAGCAGCTTTATAATGACCACTAGAGGCCTGGTGCATGAAATTCATGCACTTGGGGGCTGGGTCAGGGAGGGGTCCCTCAGCCAGGCTTACACCCTCTCACAGTTCGGGAGACCTCGGGGAATGTCCAACTGATGGCTTAGCAGGGAGCGGGCCTAAGCCGTCAGTCAGACATCCTTACCACTGCCACAGAGGCAGGAGAGGCTCCTGCCACCACTGCTGCACTTTCCAGCTGCACACTGACCACCAGGATGAAGTTCCTGCGTTAAGCATCTGCCCCTTGGTGGTCACTGCATGGCATAGTGACTGGTCATTCTGCCATCTGTTCAGTTTGCATATTAGCCTTTTATTATATAGGATTACTTCTACACCAGTCAGAACCTGACGCGTATGAGGTATTCAATAAATGTTTGCTCAATAGATAACCAAGTTAGAAGACTGAACAGAGAAAGGAATCAAAGACAATTCCTAGGTTTCTGGCTTGAGCAACTGGCTACCTGTACCTGAGATGGGTAGCTCAGGATGGGGTCCAGGTTGGTTAGAGTGTGTAGCTGGTTGAGCTTTGAGCATGCTGAATTAGAATCCACAAGGCAATAGGATACATAATTCAGGAGAGAAATCTGAGCCTGGTCTATGCGGAATTATGAGGTGGTTGCAGGGAAACATGAGACTGGGTGAGAGCAAAGAGGAGTTTCTTGTGACCATCAACATCAGATGTGTGCTGTTGTCTTGTCCTCCCTTTCTCCTCACTCTTCTGCCTGCTGATCATTCTTTGTGCTTCTTCCTTTCCTGCTGGGACACCAGCCATCATGTGACTTTTAGCTTTAATGCCCTGTTTGGTGTAGCCCCTCTCTTCCCTTCTAATCTGTTTATAATGTGTGGTGAACTAGGAAACCAGATAAGAAAGCCTATTAGAACCGTGTGTATAAATAGGCCCCCAATAAGTCCTAAACTTCCTCAGAAGTCATCTACTTGACCTCTTCGGCGTGCTTGGTGACATTTATTTTAACTACTATTTATAGCTGGTTTTATCAGTCAGATGCTAGTTAGGTGCAGTGTCATCATACGGTACATCCTACACAGAATAAAATATGATGTTCCCCAATAGCTTATTGATTGTACTAAATCAATGCCACCTCATTGGTGTGAACAAAGACTTCCAAATCAGTGACTTCATTGTTGTCTCTGATCGCTTCTTTGGGATGACAGCTCCCATCCCAAAGAATTAGCAGCATGTGGCATCATCTAATCAAGCTACCAGGATGATTCAGCAATCTGTGGACTAGTTCTGTGGTTTGTGTTCTTTCCAACTAAAATCCCAAAATGCTGGGGAGAGAACAGTGCCCTATGCACTGTCCTACACAACCAACATCCACTACTGACCAAGAGCCTCACCCGACTGAAGAAAATAAGAGAAATCCTGCCCTCTAGTGCTGGGTTCCTTATAAATGGTGTAGTATCTTTGATCCTAGGAGAGTTGCCACATATATGCACACCCCAGCATGCCTACTTTACCTCAGCATGGCCCTGGGGCACTTAGGCATACCCTCATCTATACCCTCATCTAACCATTTATGTGGCCAAGCACAGAAGAGTGGGACAGAACAGGATTCCTTCACTTGTGGTCCATGTTGGATCGGAAAACTCTAAATATGAAAATCTGTGGGGGTTGAGGGGGAGGGGATGCAGGTGCATTTTTCCTCTGGGGGAGAGACCCATGGAGCTCATGAAGTTCTCAGAGGAGTTTGTGAGATAAAGGTGCTTGTTAGAAAGAGGAATGGAGGGAGACATACTCGGAAGAGTAGAAAGACTGTAGGAGTGGCGGTGGAGGGATCTATTTTTGTGATCTGTCCTCTGCATTATAATTTATACAAACTGGTTGGACAAACGTGGACAGTTACTTATGGAGTTTGTGCCTCAGTCTTTTCATCTGTGGAATGGGAATAACTTCACGGGGATGTGTGAAGAGGAAATGCGCTGATTTTGTAAAGTACTTAGCAAAGTTTCTCAATACAGGCTCGCTATGAATAATCAAACTTCCCTGGATCTCAACTCACCCACACCCACATTGGGGATGTGTGTGTCTTTACTGTCCCTTTCAGTTTTAAGTCTCAGAAGAATCCAGAGGGGAGGGTGGGTAGAATCGAATTTCAAGGGAAAGATGCTAGCTAGGCTCACCTCTCAGTCCTGGGGGTGATCAGGAGCCGCGGATGGCCGACCCCTTTGCGCTGCGACCCCGTTGCGCCTCGGCCTGCAGGGGCGTACGGTGGACCCAGCTCTGGTTCTCTGCTGCCTGGCACCGGCCCCAGCCACGACCTCGGGCTCCCGGAGCCAGGCTTGGGCAGCCAGCGGTGAATGGTGTCCCTTCGGGCAGAGCAGGCGAGCAGGCGCGCGGGGCTGCGGGCAAGGGTGTGTGTGTGTCCATGGGCCCCGGTCCGCCCAGCACGAGCGGGCGACCACGTGAGCGCAGGGGGCGGGGCAGGAGCCACCCAGATGGGTCGATTGTGAGCTTTGGCCACGCCAGGCGCGGTTGCCAAGGCAACCTCCCAGATACGCGGAGGGGCGGGGCGGGGTTCGTCTCCGCCCACCCCTCTCTGCTAGTCCCGCTGAGAGCCCTTAGTCCCGCCAGGTGGCAGGGTCCCCCGCCAGGATGCTTGGATGCTGGAGGTGGGTTCAACACTCCAAACCTGGTGGACGCAGGGGTGGTGCGCCCAATGCTAAAGTAACCAGGACAGGAGTCCTCCTTTCTTTCATCCGCTTCTCCGACTTCATTAAAAATAATTTAATTAGGAGAGATCAACCAAAGGACTTGTATGAATTTTTTTTTACTAGGGGGATGAGGGTGCGAGTTGGAGGGTGGGGGGCCCATGGGGTGGGTAAGGACACATATGTAATACCTTAATCAATAAAGAGAAAAAAATGAAAAAATAATAATTTAATTAGAAACATAAAGGTCATATAGTAAAATAAAATAAATAATAAAATAATCTAAAAAGTAAAGTTAAAAAGAAAGGACAATCAATCTATACATATAAAAGGCTGAGTGACTGACTGTACGACCATCCGACCGTCGACTGACCAACCGGACAGTATGTATGATATGCACTGGAAATTTAAACCTAACATTGACTCACACATGCACAATATTTGTCCCCGTCTGACACTGGCCTCCCATTTAAATTAATTCGAAGACAGTTTCCCGTGATGCCAGCATTTGCGATGACTATTAATAAATCACAAGGACAAACTCTAGACAAAGTAGAAACATTCCTACCTGAACCCCTTTTTGGACATGGTGTTATGTGTTGCTTTCTCTCGAGTTCAATGAACAGGTGACATTAAATTTGTAAATACTTCACCACAAGGGAAATCTGAAAGTGTTTTTGGTCTTAATGTGGTATACAAGGAGATATTAGAATAGGTTTAATCAATTTAGCAGTCATTGTTTTTATCAATGTTGTTTTTATGTCATGTTTTTGTTGTTTTTATGTCATGTTTTTGTTGTTTTTATATCATGTTGTTATTGTTTATTTATTAATCAATTTACATACTATTTTCACATACATTTTACTATCTTTCTTTCATCTCTGACACTTCTATTATAGAGAAAGGGCGAATAACGATATTAAAATATTTCTTCTAACTAATTTCATTTCAATGTGCATGGATCTGTGCACTGGGCCACTAGTTATATAATAAAATGAAAAGTGAATCTACTTGTCAGAGATGAATGCTGTAGATTCTTCTACATCTACCCAGAAACTTTCTTTGCATACTCCAGGATGCATATATGCTTAAAAATATTATATACAAATGGGAACAAATATATAAAATATATCATTTTCTTTTCAGGTCTGCAAGTATGCCTTAACAGCCCAACCCCCAACATACACACTTTTGGGGAGACAAATTCTTTTTTTTAATCTTTTTATTTTATTATTTTTAAATTTATCTTTATTGTTGAAAGTATTGCAGATTTCCCCATTTTTCCTCATTGACCCCTTCTAGCCCATAGCCTCCCACCCTCCACTCCCCAAGCCCTCACCCTGTTTTGTCTGTGTCCATGGGTTCTGCATATGTGCATATAAATTCTTTGGTTAATTTCTTCCCACCCACCCCTAAAACCCTCCCTTCTCTCTGAATTCAATAGTCTGTTCCATGCTTCTATGTCTTTAGATCTATTTTGTTCATCAGCTCATTTTGTTCTTTAGATTGTACCTATGAGTGAGATCATGTGATACTTGATCATGTCTTTCTCTGACTGGCTTATTTTGCTTAGCATAATACCCTCCAGGTTCCTCCATGCTGCCTCAGGGGGTAAGAGATCCTTCTTTTTTACTGCTCCATAGTATTGGGGAGGCAAGTTCTTACAGCTTTTATTTATTTTTTATATGGATGTAAAACATACCTGCTTTTAAAAATAGTATGCAATAGCTTCTGAATAAAAGCAATAGTTCCCTCACTCCATTCTATTCTATTTGCTACCCAGACACTTTGTTTAAAAAAAAAATGTTAAAGACTATTTCATGAACATAGAATACACTGTATTTAACATAGGAAAAGTATGAGGGAGCAAAGTACAGACACCAGGGCTAAAGAAAATTCAGGCTGCCTCTGCTCTGGGTTCCGTGTCTTTCTCCCCAAAACTGTCCCCCTTTTCTTGCCCTCAGAGGTAACCACTATTCTGAATTTTATATTTATCACTCTTCCGCCTTTTAAAAGTGTTTTTGCTCCATAGGAATGCTTCCTTAAAATATGTGTATTTCGTATTGTTATGGATGGACATTTGAGATGGATATTTGCTAGTAAATGCAGTGCTGCTATGATCATGTTTGTACATGTCTCTAGATGTACTGGTACAAGCTCAACAATTTCTCTAGGGTGCATGCCTTGAAGTGAAATTTCTGGGTCATAGTTGTTAATAATATCAAGATAATGTGAACAAGCTTTCCAAGTATATATAGCAATTTAGACTTTCATTAACAGTGTATGTCTTAGCCCAAACTTGCTTTTGCCACACTTTAAACTTTTTGCCTATCTAGGGGGTATAAATTGTCATTTTGTGATTTTATTTTACGTGCTCTGATTACTGATTATTAGTTTGAGAGCTTGGTTCCTCAGGGATACTTGAGTGTAACTTTATTGCAAGTCACACTGTTCACCCTCAAGTACATACCACAAAACTCTTTGATTATTTTAACAGAATCAGAAAACTATTTCTTGAATTACTGTCTCTTTGTGTAGGACAAGTCTCACATTTGAATTTGGCTTGTTGACCTAGTGGGGTTTGATAATGAAGAAAAGTAAAATACTCAGGTTACTTGGGTCTCCGTTTGTAAAATCAGGATAATATGAACTGCCCTTAGAAGCCATAAAGGAAGTAGGCATAACAATGCATGATCTCATCTCGGCTCCTGTAGACACATGTGATTGATTCTTGGGGAATGCTTCTATAGTTGAATAGTTGAAACATTGTATTAGAGGTTTTTCAGTGGATATGAAAGTAATGCTCTTTCTCATTCGGAGACAAGGTTGATAGCAGTGGTAGCATTGTTTAACTCTGGAGAAGGTTCCTAAAGTTACTCGAGGATCTGGTAGATCTGGGAAGAAACACACCTAGAAGAAGGGAATAGATTAACAATGTGCAAGTTGTGCTTGGATGTATCAGAACTGTGGGTGCAAATATTTTGAGAAGTTGGGTAAACATTTGTTAGTTGATTGAGACCTTGGAGATAAGCAAAGCCGTCTGACTCACCTAATGTGGTTTCAGGGAAATGTACTCTCTCAGTTTCCTGAAAACTCTTTGGTGCTATGAGCAGGTAGCTGAAATGTAGCTTCACACACAATAGATCATTACATTTCATTTCAACCTTTTGGTAGCCTATGGAGGCTAGTTATGCTGAGCTACTTACATTTACCAACTTCCTACTAAGGAGGAAATAGCCATAACCTGGCTAAAATTATAGAAATCCTACAAATTAGTAAACAGACACCACCTTTCCCCTCTTTCACCAAGGTTGCAAAAACACTGCAAAGTTTCTTACTTGAACTTTATTTATTTGCTTAATTTGCCCTTAGCCCTTTGGCAGTACAGTTATTCGAACTTGGGCAACACAAAGGAAGAATGGGAGTAAAGGGCAGTAATAGTCATCACTGCCTAAAATGAAGAGAAGTGACAGAAAGGTTTTTTCAGTTCTTACCAACACGAACTAGGAGACAGATAAACACATGGGTTAAATTCTCTCCCAATGATCTAACTTGTGCTTTCATCTTTATCTCGTATTAAATTACATTTTATCTTTAAATTACAACTGTGCCAAGAGATCGTACATTTAATACTTCTTATGTTGACCCCAGACCTCCTGCAAAATGCTTGGTACACAATAGTAATTTTGATGAATTGCCTCACACATCATTATAAAAATTGTCACTAAAATCCAGTAATAAATGGCATTAGCTACCAGAGCTCTTAAATAAGAATTTACTGGCCTGAAAAGTAGGCCAGAGTTTCATAACAGTCGCTATATTTCTTAATTTAAATGTGAAGTGAAATATGAATTAGTAACTGGTATAGAATGCTAGTGGCTGATGGTATATTTAATTGTGGCTTTTTAACCAAAATGTTTACTTCATCTTTGGGAAGCATCATGTTAGTAGCTTTTCTTGCCAATACAGTGATTTTTATAAATTATTAGTGTGAAATTGGGAAAAAAATAAAATGAGTATAAAATGCAGAAAACAGTTAATTTTGGGAAGACATGTATAAATATCATTTTAACTAACTCCAAGAGGTTCTCAGTATAAGTTGTTTGAACTGCATTTTTGTTTCATTTGTTTCATTAACTATTGTTTGTTAAAAGCACATTGCAAGTGGAGAGAATATGTTATCACTATAAATGTTGTGTTGTATTTGAACTATAGCTGTAACTAAGAATAAAAATATCACACCTGTCAGCCTTCATCCTAACTCATATTATTGAGATTTATGAATGACTCTATAATACATAGCTCATAAAATTAAATGATATATTTGGATATGATAGAAATTCAAAATTATCTAATGTAGATACAAATTAAAGAGAAGCTAGGGAAACATAGTCCAATTTCTACATTACCCAGTTGAGGAAACTGCAAGTTAAAAGATTAAGTGATTTATTCAAAGTCATGGAGCTAATTAGTGTCATATTTGGAACTAGAAAGTAGAACAGGATGTAGTAAACATATTCATTATAAGGTATAACTGTTGTAATCATTATTCTTATATTAAAAAATGAAAAAAAATACATGAATACATGGAAATGAAATGGAGAATTGACCATTATCAATATAATTATTTCAAATGGTTAATTATACACACAATTCATGTAAAAGTCAACATTGTAGTTTTCTTCTAAGTTAAATGAATACTTGTCCTAGTTTTCCATTGAATAGAAATTAAAAGAGAA